AAAAAAAAAAAAAAAAAAAAAAAAAAAAAAAAAAAAAAAAAAAAAAGATTTGAACAGACACTTCACCAGGGCAGCTCCATAGGTGACTGATAGGCCCAGGAAGAGTTGCTTGTCATCACTGTCACCAGGAGATACAAGTAAACATCACAGTGAGACACTGCCACACCTCCGAGAGTGGATGAAAGCAGAATATGACCAAGAGCAAGTGAGGGGGTTGAGCAGCAGAAATGCTCATGCTTTGTTGACAGGGTGCCCCCGAGCAGTTTCTCATGAGAAATAAAGACATATGTCCACACGATATCCAAATGTTATAACCACAATAAACAAATGCACGCAAATGTTCATAGCAGCTTTGTTAATTTATGCAAAACTGGAAGCAACCCAGACATCCTTTCCCTCGCAGATGGGTAAACTGTGGTATGTCTGTACAATAAACTAGCACCTAGTACTGAAAAGAATGGACTGCTGATAGCACAGCATGGGTGAGTCTTGAATGTGTTCTGCGGAACAAAAGAAGCCAGATCCACAGGCTGCATACTGTAGGAGTTCATTTATATGACATTCTGGAAAAGGAAAGACTGTGGGGACAGAGGACTGATTGGTGGTCTCCAAGGGTTGGGAGCAGTGAAGGATTGACTCTCAAAGGGGCAAGAAGGAATTTTGGGGGTGAGGGAAATATTCTGCATCTTGATTGTGACAGAGGTTACATGGCAGTATGATGCATTTGTCATAGAGGTATACATCAGAAAGGGTGAATTTACTGTATGTAAGTTATTCCACGGTTTTAAAAAATTTAGTGAAAGTGTGAAATAATACATTAGAGAATTTGCAAACTGCAGAGAGATCTGGAGAAAATAATTATATAACCTCAAGAGAATAGGAAACAAGAAAGACACATTGAGAGACAAAGATGACAGAGGAAGGGGTGAGACGGTCCAACATGGAACTGAGTTCCAGAAGAGAACGGGAAGAAGAGAACATCAAAAGAATTAATGGCTGAGAGTTTTCCAGAACTGGTTTAAGGTGCCAATCCAAAGATTGAGGAAACCCAAGAAGTCCCCAACAGGATAAAGGCAAAGATGTTCATTCCTAGGCACATTTAGGAAAACTGTAAAGCTCAAAGATGATGGCAAGGTCATAAAAGAATCCAGGCTGAAAACACAGACTGCCTTCAAAGGAGTGACAATCAGACTGTACACTAACCTCTCAGCAGTAACTATGGAAACCAGGAATACTGCCAAAGTTCTGGGGTAAAACTGTCTTTCAAGGATCAGAGTGAGATAAAGATATTCTTAGACAATGACAGAGAACATCGGCCACCAAGATGGAAGATGGCCCTCGATGCAAGAAGGAAAGCAAATGTGATGTGCTAGAAGCTTCCACCAGCAGGAAAGAGGCCAGGCTTGCTGTGGAGTGGCACCCACACTGGGCACACTACACATCCACCTGAACCAGGGATGGGGATGGCAGAGGCGCCCGCAGGGTCCCTGCCATCCAGACATGGGCCTCAAACTACGCTGCATATGGACAGAGACTCCACAAAGATCCAACCACAGAGGCCAGCAGAGCCTGTGCCCAGAGCTGCAGCTCTCACCTGTTTGCCCTGCCAGCCACTGCCGGGTGCAGGAACAATGCTGGAGGGCTCTGAACAAGGGCACAGCTCCAGGTCTGGAGTCAGGGCTGAGGAGGCAGCTCTCACATCTGGCCAGCAAATCCTTTATGGGTCAGGCAGCTTCACTCTTGGCTTTCAGCAAAATCGGAAGAGAACCCATCCATCTACCAGCTGATAAAGCATTCAAAGTAACTTTGATGATGGACACCGTGTAGTTTTTCATATAGCACAGAAAGGGTTCAAAGTCAAGCAACATTTTGTGACAAAACTCTTCCTGATGGTATCTGCTAATTTATGGGAAGGGGTTTTTCTCAGTGGTGTGATCTGTAAATATGAAAAATAGGAGTGGAGTTCGTGCTGGATCTTATGTGGTCCCATGAGCATATGAACTAATTTAAAAAAACTAGACCCACCCATCTCATTGGTGTTAAATTTTACTTTTTGTATTTAGTAATTGTTTTGCATAGATTATAATATACTTATGTTATTTTGACTACTTACATGGCAATAATAATTGTAATCAGGCGCTGGATCTTATGTGGTCCCATGGGCATATGAACTAATTTAAAAAAACTAGACCCACCCATCTCATTGGTGTTAAATTTTACTTTTTGTATTTAGTAATTGTTTAGCATAGATTATAATATACTTATGTTATTTTGACTACTTACATGGCAATAATAATTGTAATCATTTTTCTGTTCAGAAAATTATTGTTTTTGAATGCCTAGAGCCTTGTGATCAGTTTTTGTACACATTTCTGTCACAGAGAAGCATGATCTGGGATCTGTCAAAGAATTTCAGTCATAACATACAGTAGGATTAAATCTGTGGGAGAATGGAATGGAAATACAAATTCAGAGAGAATAAGGAATGTATAACTTTCCATCATTAAAGAACAATTTAATCATGTATAGTTTATTATGGATAATGGTGAGTATCAAATCGTAGAATATTAGATCAATGGAATGAATTCCCTTATTTGCATTTTAAATACCTGAGAGGCTCGAGCATGGTGCTGGTAATACCAAGGTCACAGATTCAGAACCTCGTACTGGCCAGCTGCCAAAAAGAATACATGTAGAGGCTCTGTTGTAATATTCTGAGGGTAGATATGCAGTTTTAAAAAACATGAACATAAGTGTCTGGAGACCAATGACTCAGAACATTCATAGAGCTCTTGCCTCCTGCCAAAGCTGTCACCAAGGCTACCCAGGATGCCAGAGTGGGTGATTCTTTTTTCCTTCCCTTCATACCAGGTGTTGTGCACCTGGAAATGCCAGTTGTAAACAGCAGCAGAGAGGAGAAGTTGCAGTCTATGCTTGTGTACACAGAGCTGTTACTCCCAAGCGCCAGTGCATTTCACACTGCTGCCAGGGAGAGCTCCTAAGAGCACCTGCAGGCACATTCTAGATAGTTCCTCAAGCAGGAGGAAGTCTTACTGTTTTCTCCACATAGTCTTTTGTAGGAAGAGTAGTCTCCCACGGTGAACAGAGAAAGGCCATGCAGAATCTGCACCTCCAGGCAGTGAGGTCAGGGGAGCTGCCTGCCCAGCCATGGCTTTTCTGGGGGTGTGTTACCTGTTGTTGCCTCCCACCCCCAGCCTATCGCAGTTCCCCTTGAGAGCGGGAACCAGGAGGGGAGAAAGGGGCAGTGGTGGAGGGAGAGACATGGGCAGGGCCGGCCCAGTGATGCCTCATGGGAGTTTGCCGAGCAGTTGCACAGGCCGGTGCTCATGGCCTGGCCTAGCCCAAGGTGTCCAGCGAGGCAAGGCACGCAGCCCAGCCAGAGAGGTCAGACCAAAGCCAGTGACAGTTGCTGGGTGGGGTGGGGAAGTTTAGGGAGGGTGCGGGACAGGGGACATCCGCCCCTCCTGCCTGCCCAGGCCTCATGGCTTTTCCAGAGCAGCCTTAAGGCTGTGGGCTGTGTTAGGGGCAGCCTGGAATGTGCCTAGTTCCTAAACTGCAGGAAGCATGGCACAGGAGCAGAGTGTGGTGTTGTAACAGAGTGGCTTTTTGACGTCAGAGAGTGTATACTAAGCTACAGAGTTAATGCCCTTTACCTCATGTCATAATGTGGACGTCAGTGGTGTCACTGGCAAGGGAGGGTCTATCCTTCAGGATGTGCTTCTCCAGAAACTGAGAAGAATCATTCTTTGAAAGGCCCAAGAGGCTGATGGCATCCCCTACCTCACATTCATTAAGGTCAGGAAGTGCCCCAAGGGAGCTGTGACAATCAAACCATCCTATCAAAGGACAAGCAGAGTTCACAGTTCATTCAGTCTCTGAATGCCCTTCATCTGGCCCAGGTCTGTGGCAGACCATGCAGGGGCATCTGGGTGGAGGCCTGTCTCCCTCCCACGGCCGGGGTCTGGGCTGGCAAAGCTGGGAGATGCCCTCTGTAATCCTGTCCTGTTATAGCAGCTTTGAGGGCTGCTCTACTGCCTGAGAGCTCCCTACCTGCAAGTGGCATTGCTGCCATCCTGACCTGGACAGGAACTTGTGGTGAATGAGGCTTGGATGGAGAGTTTCCCTTGCTGGGATGACACCGAATACACCTGTTGGGAGTCCACCTCTCATGTGCCTGAGAGTTTGCTTCCATCTGGAGTGATGAGGACAATTTCTTTGGAACTCAGAGCTGAGAGAACCTGGGTTTGTAGAAAGTATGTGGCTGACTTCCTTGGTGGGGCTGGCTGGGGACATCCCAATCCTGGGACCCCATCAACACCCTGGCAGGCGGGTGAGCTCTGCCTTCCTGATAATGCTTGTGAAATTCCATGAAAGACAAGCCTGTCTGACTCATCTTGGGATCTCTCGGGTCCAGGCACAGGCAGTGTCTGGCAGGGCTGGTGTGTGAAAACTTGCTTCATTGAAAGTGAAGAAAGGATTGCGGCCAGCAGTGGCTCTACCGTGTCTTCCCCTCTCCTTCTTTTCTAAAGTCTCTCTGTATTTTCCAGATGAATGACCAGCAGGTTACTGTTCAAACCCAGCAGCAGGCAGGCCAACAGCCAAAAGTGACGTTCATACCTCAGCCCACCATGGAGGCACCATTTCTGATATCCTCTGTGTCTCAGGCCAAGGCCATGAGGGCCCTGCAGATGCAGGGCCAGATACCGGTGGGCTCTTGTGCCCCACCTCAGCCAGAGCCAGAGTGGCGGCCACACTGGCCCAAGCTGGGTGGCAGATGCCTTCTGTCCTGGGAGCCACTCTCCTCAGAAGGAAGGAGGCAGGAATGTGTGGGTAGGGACTGTGACTGTGCTACTTGTTTTGTGTTTTGTGAAGATTGCAAAGACCCCTCAAGTTGCTCAGCAGCAAACACTTGCAGCAAGCCTTCAGCAGATGGCATCTGCTGCCCAGCAGGTGAGCTTGGACAGTGACCTGGAGCTGCTGGCCACTCTCAGTCCCTCCATCTGGTAAACCACTTCTCCCCCTTCATCACTTAAAGCTCTTCCTAAAATTTCTGGGAAGGCTTCTCATCCCCCACTTCCCACACCTCTGCAGGAGGCCATGGCCTGTTCTGCATCCTCATCCTACCTGAGAATGCCACGGTCAGGCCACCCTGTGTGTCTCTGTGCACCCAGCGGCATCTAGCCATGGTCAGTACTCAGTGAGTGGCAGTAATCTAGTTTTTCAAAAAGTCAAAAGGTTCAGCTGTTGTCTTCAGTCACCAGCTTAGTACCCTTCCCATTCTTTTGAATACAAATATATCTAAATTGTAAAGAAAAAGGCCAAACCGATGGCCTTTCCAGGTTTCCTCACAGCTCAGGTGAGTCAAGTGTGTGGCTCTGTCGTGTGCTTCCCCAATGGCCAGGGCTTGCGGGCATCTTCCTGTGGCGTGGCAGCCGGGCTCTGGACTGAGCTGCCATCCTGTCAAGCTGTGGGTGGGCAGGGAGGTGGGCATGGCTCAGATGCAGGACTCCTGCTCTGAGGTTTACTTTCTTGAATAAATGCTTCTCTATTTGCTATCTACAGACATTAAATGCTTGTTTTTTGGTCATTGTTACCAGTTATAATTGTTTCTCGGGGGGGTCTGAGGAGCTCCTCCCTCCACCATTTTGTATATTCCATGACCAAAAACCAGACCTAGTCAGTGGTGGCATTTAATGTCAAATGGAATTTTCATATTTCTGGTATGTTGTTTTCTAGTAAATAACTGAAACGGACATATGAGTCACTGTTACGCAGAGGTAGTAGCCCTTATTTTCATACTGACCACTCTCCGATTTTGCTTTTTAGCCCCTTCGAGGTCTAACTCATCCTCAGGAAGATGGGAACAGTATGTAGAGTTCTTTACTAACACGAAGCCTTCTATTCGTCATGTCCTCTTGAACATACAGGTTCAGGCACAGCCACAAGTGACGTGTCAGACCACGGTTGGCCAAGAGCAAGCCCAGGTGCTTCCTGCACCAGGGGCAGGTTCCAGCCACCAGCGAGGGCCAGAGTCAGCAGCCAAGTCTAGATGCAGGCCCCCACTGTCTGTCAGGTTCAAGGCCCCTAGCAAGCCCAGCTGAGGCAGGGGCAGGACATGGGAAGGTGGGAGGGAACACGCTTCCTGTTCACATCCCATCTGCTGCATGTGGGCGCCTTCCATTCTGTGGCCGTTGACACAGCTTTCACATGTCAGAAGGTCTAGAACAAGACCTGCCAGCCCAGGCTGGAGGCCTATGGACACTGAAGAGAAGCTTCTTCCCAGATGTGTGTGGCATAGCCAGGTGGGCAGACAGCTTCTGGGCCCAGGCCTTGTGCTCACCTGGGGCCTCCTGTCCCCAGCATGTAGGTGTGCCCTATGTAGCTTGTGCTGAAGCATCGACTTGTTAGGTGTACAAATGTGTTCATACCCCCTGAGAAATTTTTACCTGTTTAATTCAAGACGTCCAGTTTGAGTATTTCTCCCATAAGTTTCATTTCTGCCCTTGTGGTGGGTAATTGTTCCCACGAATTTTCTTGGCCTGTGGCCACAAGACAGCCACCATCAAAGTGTCAAGACTGTGTTTTCGTATCGTTATTTTACTGAAGTGGATAAGTATCTTCAGGCAGGGATAAAGAACTACATTTCTCTCCTATTTTTTTTAAAAAGTTTGCTTTAATTTTAGTACATAAAATATTCATTACAAAGCATTCTTATAAATAGTAATCAGTGCATCTAAAGCTTGTTTCCAGTACATTTGTAACAAAGACTTTCTCATGCCGTGCGTTTATTTTATACATGGGTAATAATCACAAAGTAAAATACTATTGACTACACAGCTGCTTTCTCTGGTTTACGGTACTTGTAGTGCTGGACACATTTTCTCAAGAACACCTCTCCTTCCTGGGGTTGCAAATGGTGGGGGCCAGGGAAGAGTCTACGCATGTTTCTAAATATTTTTGGTAAAAGCAAGACTGTGCTGGCACAGCCACCTCACACCCAGGGACCTGAGCAAGGGACGCTTAGGGCAACTTTTCCCACGCAAAATGGTGAAGATGCTGAAATTTCTAGAAGAGCTAAGTCTGTAAAATCAGCTCTAGGCTAACCCTAGATGCCATTCCACCAGTTCTGCGGTAGTCTTCACAGTTTTACTAAAATAAAGCTTTATTTTCAAAAAGACTGACCCAACCTCAGGCCCAACTTCTGCTGCCTCAAGCTATGCAAGTGACAGTTCATTAAGTCTCAGGACTGAGCCTAAGCTTCTAGAACACACCTCTGTTCTGGGCTCTGACTGCAGGCTGCTTCCTCACAAACCCCGAGGAATATCTTTTGCTCACATGCAGCACCCAGTGCTCAGGGTTTTTCCAGGAGGGTAAAGATGGTGACTGCTATCCAGCAGGAGGGAACAAAAGGCTCAATCGTTCTGGTCCTCCAAGCCCCAGGCTAGGCCACCTTCTGCTTTCGCTCTTCCTGCAGGAGAAGAGGAGTGCTCGGCCTTGTACGGGCAACCAATCCCCATAGTGACCCTGGACCCCAGCCATTGGATCCCTGAGAAGAAGGAAACCTGGTGCTCCCTCAAAAAGCACCGTCCCAGTCCTGGCAGCTGGCGGCCCTCCCCTCCCATCCATCCTCCAGCCTGAAGCTTCAGGATAAACTTGCTGTGACCCTTTTATTTTCTTCTCACTTTTCTCTTTTTCTCAACATATTATAACATCATGTCTAGGGACACCCAAGGCTGGGGTCCCTTACCTTGATGGTCTTCTCCAGTTGGGACAGGGCCTTCTCATACTGAGGCACTAGCGGTTGCAGGAGCTCACTGGAGACCTCGTGTCGCTCCAGCTCGGGCACCCCAGCCTCTGTCAGCATCTGCAGGAATCTCCTCTCCTGGAGGGAAGCCCATGCGTGGGAAAGGGTTCTTGGACCAACCCTCCACTGTCCCCAGCAGGTAGCAGAAGTCCCCCAGCATCCTGCTGAAACCCACATGACCCCACCTGCACTTTCAGAAGCAGTGTGAAGGCCTGTCCAGTTTTCCCAGCTCGGGCTGTTCTCCCAACCCTGAAATCAAACACAGCTACCTCCAGACAGTAGTCTCCGACCCTTCAGGGAGCCGAAAAAACCTCCACCCAAAACCATGCAGGATGGTCCCGCATATGATGCCCGGGAGCTCATGACACCCCCAAGCCCCCCAACAGCCGCTATTGGCCAGCCCTCACCGGTGCACGTAGATCCTCAGGTACTGGGGAGCGTCGTAATTGACCACCAGCTCCACACCCCGCACGTCGATGCCTCGGGCGGTGGCGTCGGTACTGATGAGGCTGGCAGGACACGGACTCTGTGGGCCCCACCAGGGAGAGGGATGCCCACACCTGCACCTGCCCCATAGGGCAGCTCTAGGCTTTTCTGCAACTGGCTGCCAGAATTAGGGGTGCAGAAAGCCACTTTCTGGACAGAGGCACCCTTCAGAGGACCCTGAGGCTGACCTCACAGAGCAGGTCCTGGCCCCCCTTCCCAAGTACTCACAGCTGGATCTTTCCCTGTTCAAACTGTTTCAAGACTGTCTTCCTCTGGCCGGGCCCGTAGCGGGAGGAGAACTCAGCCACGCTCACACCTCCGAAAGCTTGCACTAGCAGGAAGAGCCTGGGCAGAAAAGAAGCTGGAACCAGGTGGTGCTGGGGCCAGAGCATGTCTCAGCTGCACCTGCCCTGGCCCAGCCTCACCTGTGGGAGTTCTCTCGGGAGTTGGTGAAGCAGAGGACCCGTGAGAAATTCATTTCCAGGATCAGGTGCAGGATGGCCAGTGGCTTGGAGCTGAGGCTGCAGGGCACGTAGTGGTGCTGTGCAAGACAGCAGGGGAATGGCCAGGAGCCCCAGGCACCTGGGCACTGCCCCCTCCTGAACCACTCCTCCCCATCCCCGAGCCCAGCTCACCGTGAGTCCTACAGGGAAGGTGTACTTCCCACCTGAATCCCCATCCATGTCGCTGTCTGTGTCCCTGGGTCCCTTCTGTGCCAGCCCCGTGGAGAAAAGCCGAGGCTGGTAAAGGCCAAGCTGTTGCAGCTTTTCGGGGTTCTGGGTCAGAGTGGCCGAAAAGAGCAGCTTCTGCAGAGGCATCTGGGGATAGCAGGTACTGAAAGAGAAGGAAGAGTATGGAGCACTGGGACGGGCTATGAGTGGCCCTGCTTGTGACCCTCAGCTCCCAGGAACACAAATCCTCATGGCTACTCCGTGCACAAAAGAGACTGAGCCAGACCAGAGATCAGGTGGTCTGGCTCACGTGCTTGCAATGATGGGGTGGCTCTGTGTGACAGAGCTTACTTCACTCTCAGCTAAGAGTCCCGAGAAAGGAGAACAACAAGGATTAGCCTCTACTCAAGGACAGTGGCTCCCAAGCACGGTGCTGGATACCTAGCAGTGGTTACTGCCAGGGGCTGCTTTCTCTGGAGTAGAGCACAGGGGTCTGCAGGGCACTCGCTCTGGAAGGCTGCCGCCACCACCCGCGGCAACCAGGACTGGTGCATGCTGTCTATCATGCGGTCAGCCTCGTCAATAACCTGTAGAAGACAGGAAACCCAGCATGGGTGGAGGAGAGGTTCCTTGCCAGGATCAGCCCCTAGCTTAGCGCAGGCTTCCAGGGCTCGAGACCTACCAGGAAGCGGAGCTGCTGGAGGCTGAATCCTGGAGTCTGGTCGATGTGGTCCACCAGGCGGCCAGGGGTGGCCACCACAATATCAGCCAGGCAGCGGTAGCCATCTGCTCTGCAAACCAGAGAATGATTCAACAGGAGGAAGCTCCTTCCATGGCCTTCTGAATGCAAGGGGCTACCTGTTTCCCCTCACACAGCACTGATCCCCACCTGCCAGCCCTACAGCTCTGCTCCTGCCAGACAAGCCTTTGTCCAACTGAGGGGCTGAACAGGGGTTCTCCTGAAGAGCCACAACCCAGAACCTACGTTTTCTGGATGAGGCTCTCCTGCTCCTTGGCCAATGATTTCTGTCCAGTAACCAGAGCAACCCGCAGAGGTGTAGCGTCTGTGTAGATGTTGAACACTTTGCTCACCTGGCAAAGGAGTCTGTCATCAGCCTGGGCATAGCTGCTATCCCCCCACTGCAGGGAAAAGGACTCCAGATATGGTCTGGCCCATCCAGGGGCCAAGCAGCACACATGTCCAGTGGGCAGCTGAGGCTGGTATGCTACCTCCAGGTGCAGGGTCCACATACCTGCTGGGCCAGCTCCTTGGTGGGCAGCACGACCAGGGCACGGATGTGGCACACTGCTCGCTGCAGAAGTGCCTGCAGGGGAGAAAGGACCACCTGCGTCAGTAGAGTTGTTCCCTACCCGCTGAGCCTGGCCAGAAGAGGAGAGGGAGCCTTACGCCTACCTGCACCACAGGGATGACAAAGGCCAGCGTCTTCCCACTGCCTGTTGGGGCCGAAACACAGAGATCACTGGGCTGGTAGCCACCTCTGCCCACTAAAAACCCATTGGCCGCACTCTCCAAGAGGGCAGGAATCACAGCTGCCTGGACTGGACAAGAAAGATGAGAAGCAAGTTACGTTTATGCTAAGACCAGCCACTTACCCATCTGGAATCTCCAGGCTGGGCTACTCTGCCAGAGACCTAGGGGACCTCCACTCAAGGATGGCATCAGGTCCCTGAGGAGCATCAGGCTCAGGTGGCCCCAGTGCTCATCAGGAACCACGAGCCTGAGGACACTGAACTGCATGTGACGCTGGATGTGGTAGGGATCCCGGGGTGTGGTAGGGATCCTGAGCTGTGGCCTTGCACAGACCTGGGTGAGGATACTCTGGGAGGTGTCTACCCATCTGCCTGCCTGGGGCTGAGGCACCTGGAAAGTAGGATAAGATGCCATGTGCCCGCAGCTGCTTCTGCAGGTCAGGGTGGACCTCCGGGATGTCCTCGATTGGAACAAGATCTTCAGTGACATTTTTTCTGACACAGCTTGGCTCAGCCAACCACGTTGGAAGAAAAGGCTGGACCTGCCACAAAAAGGTAAAAGAAAGGGACCAGGTGAATACCCCAGAACCCTCCAGGCTGGGGGAGCAGAGCATGCAGAAACCAAAAACTCAAGCTGAAGAGACAGCAGGAAGGAGGCCCTGAGAAACCTTCTTAGTCTCCGGCTTCTCCTTAAACCCCCACAACTCACTTTCCACATAGTCTTCAAAGAACTAAAAAAAAAAAAAAAAAAAAAAAAAAAAAAAAA